CTCACTTGTTGTGCGCAGGTACCCAGACAAGCATCTAGACCGAAGGGAATTCAGTTCAGGCCAATCTAGGCCTTCGTTTGTATCAAGATCTGGACGGCTCAAGGTTGCAGCATCCGGGGTCCAGACCCCGAGTCAACGCTACTTAAAGCATTGACCTCCCTGGCTTTGATTCATTCATTATGTCTTGCATTGAGGTTGACTTCACGCGTTGACTTCAACGCTGGCTGGACGCTACGATGTTGGTTCGACGCTGCAATGCTGGCATTGTGATTCGGCGAGGCGCTGGTGGTTCGGCATGGTGGCTGGCTTGCATTTGTCTTCTTGGCATGCTGACGAGGCAGCTGCCATGTGCTATCGCTGAGGTGGCTTATGCCACGTGTATCATTGGCCGACGTGGCTGCTGGCACGTGTTCCTCTGTTTGCTGACGAAGCGAGGCTAGGTTACTTGTATTGTTGTTCTGATTATCGTCGTTTAGGAGGAGTCGGGACTGTGGAGAGTTCGTGGATACATACCTGGCTGTCTTCATGTCGACATTGCTCCAGCGCCGATGTGGGACTCGTTAGACGTGCCACGTGGCACGTTGCGGCTACTTCGGATACTCGTTCAGACTATTGATTATTGAGGTGGTAGTCGAGGAGGGAGCCCGAAGCAGGAGTGGGCATTGTACTTTCCTCTCCTTTGTCTCATCTCCCTCCTCTCTTTTCGTCTGTGTATGTTTACCTCATCTCATTCTGTCTGGTTACGATTTTGACTATTGGTAATCATCAACCGATGGGCATTTATCTGGGCTCGAATTGTTGACGACTGTCTTCACGATCTGGGTTCATTGCACCTGACAGCATTGATTGCTTCAGTGTTGTGTTGTTACACAACATCTGACAGCATTCATTGCTTCAGTTACATAACACCTGACAACATTGATTGCTTCCTCTTGTAAGGATTAACTGTGTGGTTTTTAAAAGTTGCAGGACCCCCTTCCTGCCCTATACTTCCTTTTTTTTTTTTTCTTTAATAAATTAAACAGGTCCTTATGATCCTGGCTCCATGTCCATTCTGGGGAGTATCAGTCTGGTTCCTTTCCACTAGCAAGTGAAGATATTGAAATACAACGTTTGTACCCACTCACGCTTCCTTCCGTTTGGCCGAAGGAACCTTGACCTGCATTGATTGCTCCATGCTAAAGGAGGATTGATTGTCAGCTTGCCTTTCTCACGACTTCCTCTCAGGTCCTATATGGGAACCTGTCGAATCTGACACGACGTAGCAAGAAACTCAAAAAAGTGACTTTTGAACTAACTCCAATCTCTGTCGAGCATCAGGTCATGTTGTCTCTCAGTCTGTAGCGTGCCATTTATTCCACCTCAGCACACTGTTTGTCACCTTCGCGATTTTGCCTCGTATTAGCCAAGTCTCTGCTGAACGTTTTTTTCCCTGGCTTTGAACTTGTCTGGTCTGGTCTTGGCTAAGAGTCCGATTGAGTGTCATTCGCTGCGGATCTCAGTTTCCACCATCCTGATTATTAAGGCTAGTGAAGTTCTGATTTGATTGTTGTAGGTGTATCACTCGTTTGTTTTTTCGATGGAGTAATTCTGGATATTCTTTGTAATGATGTCGATCTGATTTGGTGTTTTCTGTTGGTGGTTCCTTCTAATAATATGGTTTCTTGATAATGATTTCTTAAACCTTTTCGTGCCATACATCTTTGCTAAACGTTTCTCAAACCGTGGTTTGGGAATCTGATTCGAAAATCCTTTATGGATATCGAAACCTAAATTTCGTATAATCTCTCGTATATGTTGTCACTCAGTAGCTTTCCTTATCATTGATCTTATGGTTTTGATTTCTTCTTGATTTCTGATACAAACTTGTTTCTGATCTTCGATGCCTAAACGTAGGCTTCTGAAGTGATCTTCAAAAAAACTTACGTCTACGTTTCTGAATACCGTGTGGTGCATTTTGATTCGGATTGGTTTTTCTGTTTGCTAATCTCAACATTCTGGTCCGAGTGGTATAATTGTGGCTCACTGTGTATTTCGGTGGGGTCTTCTTTGAGGGTTGGAGCCTCCCCCCGTGAGGGTTTCACAAGGTGGGAGGTGTTATTCGTGGAGGGGGGAGGCAGTATTGGGGGATTGTCGCCTCTTAGCCAGACTAATTTAGGGTCGGATCAGTACTGGCGGGTGGGGAGAGAAGGCAAGGCGGTGGCTGCTTATAGCAGAGTGTTAGGTTTTTGTTTTTTGAGTGGAGTGACTTCGATGGCTACACAGTGAGCCGAAGGGGGGGGAAGCTAGATTTGAAGGAAGGAAGGTAGCAAGGGGATTTTCAACAGAAAGGTTGTTTGTTAGGGTGAGTAGGTTAGAAGGACGATGCTGGGACGACACAGGCCGGTGCTGGGGCCTTTGCTCTGTAACCCAGGGGGAGCTTGAGGCCTGGGAAGTTATGCCGAGGGTGGAAGGCATAACCAGATCGTCCAACGTAGTTGGCGCCGGGGTATTGACCCTGTAACCTGCTTAGGGGCTCTCCGCTAGGGAATTGTCGAGGGAGGAAGGCACTTCCTGTTTGTTAGGGCTAGGTTGATCGGTACTGGGGAGGGTTGTGGTGCCCTGTTACCCTAGCAGAAGGGGGTATGAGATCAAGTGAGCTCTGGTACACGGACTGAAAGCCTGGACCGACGCCCCATCTGTTGGAAGGGGTAATCTAGGTAGGATAGTAGGCAGATTTAGTTTGCCCCCCCCCCCCCCCCCGA